TATTTATTGGCCCTGGCTGGTGTAGCTCAGTGGATTGAGCACGGGCTTGTGAGGCAAAGGGTCGCTGGTTCGATTTCCAGTGAGGGTACATGCCTGGGTTGCAGGCCAGGTCCCCAGTAGGGGACACATGAGAGGCAACCACACACATTGATGTTTCGCTCCCACTCTTTCTCCATCCCTTCCCCTCTCCCTAAAAAATAAATAAATAAAATATTTTTAAAAAATATTTATTGATGCTTGTCCTGGAAAACACACTTTGTGGTTCGCAGGCCTGCGCTCAATCCAGAGCTACACCAGCCAGGGCTCGGAAAACACACTTTGGAAAATGGTGAATGAAGATTATAGATTTGGGGGTCTCCAGGTCTTACAATGTAAGGGGCTTTGAGATACCCACGTCCATCCCCAGATCAGCCGAGACCATGGGTAAACTTAGTCTCTCAGACTATTCATTTCCATCCACTAAATGGGTATCATTCCTACCTAGAACTGTAGCAAAATTAAATAGATACCTACAAGGTTCTCAACCAATAGTGTGTACTCAACAAAAGTTAGCCCTTTTCCTTAGGTATGGACTCAGGTTTTAGAAAGAGGAAGTATTTCTGGAGGACGATCTTGAACCCAGGAAGTAATTACATCAGGCTGAGATCTGTATGTGATTAGCATTTGGAAGGGGACACAGTACCAGGTCAAAGAGCTTGCGTAGGACCAGACACGGCACTAGCTCTGGCAGACTTGACCCACTGCCTTCATATGTAAAATGCAGACATCAGGTTCACAGAGAATTTTTAGGATGAAATAAGTGTATGTAGTGTGGCCCACAGTAAATGCTCAGAAAATTCATGGTGACACAGACTGTAATAGTACAGAGCACAGTTTTTTGAACACTTTTAAGGCAAGGTGTCAATTGAGTCTGGCCATTTCCTGGAATTGGAACATGCACACTATCTCCTCACGATGGACTTTTTAAAAGGTGCAGATGTCTGCTGATTCCAACTTTCAGGGGGTGCATCCCAGCAAGGTACACAGGACAGCTAAAGTTATGATCACCAAAGTTTGGGGACTGCTGCCTGGGCACCATGGGTAGCAAGAATGTGAGGACCAGATGGACACTGGGCTGGAGGAGGCATGGACATTCAAGACCCTGGGCTCGGAGAAGAGTGGCCCCGTGACCTGAGTCTCAGACCCACAAGTTCACCATGACCCTTCAGAGGAGGGTGTTGGCCGGTGTGTGAATGGGAGCTGGCTGGTGTCCGGTGTGCCATTCCTGGGGCGGTGTAACGGGAGTGACGGGGGCTGGTTCCGGGCCTGCAGGAAGGGGATGGGCGAGTGCCCCTGAGAGCAGGCCAGTTCTGGTCCCTGACCACGTCCGGTTCCCATCCCTTTCCGTCCCATGAGGCCTGTGCCCTCGCACCCACCAGGGGAGCCCAGGCCATTGGTACGGGTCATCTTACGGCAAAGTGCTCTTGGTTTGGGAGAAGTGGGAGGGAACGTTCCCAAGGGGACCTGAACCACATGATTTTTCCTTCTCATGGGAACAGATATAATACAGCGTATGAAGGACCAGTACCCCTAAGCCAGGTCTGCCAGAGTGCCCTGCCTTCCTTACTGTGTCTCCTCCAAGGGGGATGAACATGTATGTAAATCCTTCACACTTCTTCTGTTCGGGGGGCTCTGCCGGTCCTCTTCTTCTCTCCCTAGAGGGTGGGTGGCAGTGTCATTTTGTTTGAAGACTCACCTGGGACACAGAAGGCTCCATGTCGGGTTGGTTTTGTCTCAGCTCTGCCCCTGGGGAAGTAACAAAAGGACACACAATGGCCTCCGCCTCTGGGCAGCGGAGGGCTTGGGGCAGTCCCCTCGGAGCCCCGCCCTCTGGCACACGCCTGTCAGTAGACAAAACTGGGGACCCACTCAAGACTCCTGGGCCATGTGAGTTTAGGCAGAGCTGAGAACATGTGGGAGACGCCCAGCTTCCCCTTGGCTTCTGGACCCTGTAGTTAAGGGAGGCAAGGTGCACTAGGGCCCGGAGAGAGGTCACTCCCATTTCCAGGCAATGCCCAAATACAAAGGCTCCCACGGGCTTCCGTTCTCTGATCTCAAAACTCCAGGCCAGGATGCCAGGGCGCCAGGTGACGTGTCCTTTCTGCAACCAAGTAAAGTTCACAGACACCACGTTTTTGCCATGGGGCTTGAAACCAGTCAAGCATGTTTTTATTTAAAAAAAAAAAAAGGAAAAGTCTAATGGTAAGTATATTGTCTATACATGCTACAGCTAATTGTTCATCACCCCTCCCCCTCACATTATATATCCTCATTGGATTGTGTGTGTGTGTTCAAAGGAAACAAAAACCACCACCGGAATCTGCCTGTTTGCCGAGGACAGAGGGAGCACTGAGTGTCCAGAGGTCTCTGGCATCATCCTGCGAGCTGACACACGGTGGCAAGGCAATGCCGTTGGCGACCACTGTTCCTGGAGGGATGCAAGCCACGGCCTACTCACTCAGGGGCTCCCTGTATCGGGGCGTGTAGGCAGGAGCTAAGGTGGCCATCGCTCCTCACCACCCCCAGCAGAGTGAAAGGGGCACTGCTGACAATCACAGACACATACGGGGGCCAGATGTGGGCGCCTTCGGGGTCCCGGAATTGCTCACCACTGGAATGAGCCTGGTGGGCACCCCCCCGTGGGTGTCTACAGAAGAGCTGAAAGAGAAGGCTGCTGGCCGTGGCCCTCGGCTTGGCTTCTCCAGGGAAGCAGAGACTGAGCTCCCTTGTCCCCGCCTGGAGCTAGGAAGGCCTCCTTCAGAGTGAAGGGCAGGAACGGGAAGGGGATGGAGATGCTGCAGTATGGCGAGCGGCTCAGGGACCCGCAGGGTAGCACCAGAAACCAGACGTCACCCCACCAAGTGGACGGTCACGCCTGTGGGAAGGGTCCTCAACACCTGGGGAGCCTCCTGGTTTTAGCTCCGCAGAGTCAGAACCTTAGCCAAGTTCGGAGCAATGCCTCTGGGCTGAGGGAGGGCAGCCTGCACCCTCAGGCCTCGGTATAAGCCAGTCACCACCCATTCGGGCCACAGTTTGACGCAAGGGAATCCACGGCGTGGCTGTTGGCTGCAAAAGTCCTGAATGTTGGGCCAGGACAACCATGAGGGACAAGACTGCCGTGCGTGGCTAAGGCTGTTGTGTGCCCACCGTCACAGTTCAAAGAGAAGGGCGAGGCTTCCCAGGGTCAGGCAGACCTGGCACTTAGAGACTCAGCACAGGAAAGGCAGGGAGGCAGGCCATGGACCTTCGCCTTCTCGCTGTCCAGGGGCCAGCTGTTGGAGGACCGGAGCAAATCCTTCTTCCTACCGCTCCAAGCTGGCATTGGTACAGGCTGAATAAATACTGGGCTAGTCCGTCCCTCAGGTCCTTCCAAGCCTTGGGGAGATTCGGCACCTGCCCTTGAATGTGGCAAGTTTGTTTTCCTCTGTTCCACCTGGTGACGAAATCCCAGAAAAGTTTTCAGGCCTAGAACGTAGCCTAAAAAATCGATGACCTGACGAGGCCCATGGTGGTGGCTCCCACTGTCGAACGGAAGGCTGGCCTGGGCCCTCGTGATTCCTCCAAAGGGACAGCATCACAAGCGGTTTCAGCTGGAGCCCAGCTGTCCCCAGGTCCCAACCTGAGACGAGGACCAGACCCCCCCGCAATGGCAAAGGACATCCAAGTGACAATTTTGAGCGAAGGCCTGTTTCAACCAGTGGAGGCCCTTAAAACAAAGATTCTTCCAAAGATCTGGGGTTGCCACAGCTGTGGTTTTACTTTAAGACGTAAGGTAAGACACAGGAAGTCAGCAGGGATGAGGAAAGCAGAGAACCCTGCCTGTGTCTGCCCTTCAGATACTGACCGGTCGGATCGTGGGGTGGGGGGAGGGGCAGCTCAAAGTCAGGAGGGCCACCTACCTCCCTGGAGTACGTTTCACTGCTGGTGGCGGAGGAAGTCACGGACACTGGGTGCGGGAAAACTCCTGGATTCCAGGCTCAGCCCAGCCACTGACACTACTCAGATGAAGCTAGGAATGGGGCCTCATGCCCTGGGTCTGTTTTCTCACTACAGATCGGGGCTGACCCCGCACCCCTCACAGGGCTGAAGTAAAGCAGGGACCCTCCGGAGCCTGGCGTGGGGGTTATTCCTTACAGCCCAGGCCATTTCCACGGCCGTAAGTCCAGGACAGTTTTGAACATGCTCTGTCGATTGCTCACAAAGAGTGGCCATGGTCCTAGACAGTGTAACCTTAAATCCACAGGCAAGACCCCCCCCCACCGCAACTTCCAGGTGCCTAGGGAAGTGCCCACCGCTGTGGCGGAGACATCGAGAGAGGAGGGCTCAGGACAAAAAGTATCCTGAGGAAGAACAGTGAATGGAGAGAAATGTGGCTTCTGTACCTTTGGTTCCCGTCAGAATAATAATAATAATAATAATAATAATAATAATAATAATAGCAAGTTCTTTCATTTGCAGAAAAACGTGCTGGCCAGAGAAAGAACCAGTCCATTCCCACCCAGCTGACTCCCAGGAGGAGGGAATGAGGTCAAAGTCAAACCCTTTCGGTGGAATCAGCAAACAGAACCGCAGCTCTTCCAGCCAGGCAGGCAGCCGCCTGCAGCCCGGTCCACCCGGCGCCTAGCACGGGGCAGGCGCTCACCAAATTCTTGGAAAGGTCAATGAAAGCACAAAGTGAGTCGGAAAAAAAAAAAAACAACAACTTAGAGCTTTGTCTTTTGAAATGTATGAGTCACACCCTGCCTCGCAGCTTCATAAAAGCAGTTTAAACCGAAGTGGATCCCTCAGGAAAACACGCCACGGGGGCCTCCTCCTAAGCGAGGGGACCGTGAAGAGGTGGGTGGCCCTGCTCCCCACCCACGGTTCTGGGCACAGGGCCAAGGGGCGAGCGGGCGCAGGGAGGTGCCCCTCAGGGCCCTGCCCCAAGGTTCTCAGGGACGGGATCCACAAACCCACTGAAGGTCAAGAACAGGACTGAATAGGACTAAGGAAGCTCCTCCTACAGACACATCCAGGGTCCACGTGGTGGGGGGTGTGGGGAGGGGAGAGGACCTCCTGCACGGCAGGTGGCCAGCGAGCATCCCCAGGAAAGCTGGCTTTGTGGTTCTAGAAGCATTACAGCCAAGGGACCCTCTGAACGGGTGACTCTGGGGCAGGATAGGGCGGGGGGGGGGGGGAGGGGCACTGTCCTTTCACCCCCGGGCAGCCTGGTCCTCCCGCAGAAGCTCCCTGTGGGGAGCTGGCAGCCTGGGGACCTGGTTCTGGTTCTGTACGTGACCATGACTCTAGGTGAACCACACCCTGGAAATGGGTAGGAGGGCTGCCCTGGGTTCCTCCCAGGGTGACAGAGAAGGACAGTGCCAGGGGGAAAGAAAACTATGAACACCAGAGCGCAGCAGCAGAGTGTGACAGGAGGCATCTGCCTGGCCCTTGGGTCCCTGTCACCTGAGGGGACCATTGCTTTGACGGGAGAACTAGCGGCTGGTCCTAGAGCCACCAGGGCCCCTCAAGGCAGGCACGAGGGACCACCTCGTCTCCCTCGGTGGCCTCAGCTCTCTCCCTCTGGGACACCAGCACGGGAGCAAAACACAGGGCTCTGACCCCCACGCTTCTCCCTCCCCCTGCCTGGCCGGCCTGTTCCAGGGTGAAGGGAGCAGGCCTGGCGGTCAGGCTGGCCTGGATTCACACCCTCTCCCCTTTCCTTCTAGCTAGTGTGCCCGGGGCACCCTGAACCCCAATTTCCTCCTCTACGGAAGGAGTGTGCTCTCACAAGAGAGGGTTCAATGTGAATGTCAAGTGCGGTGCACGGAGTCTGCCACTGACTAGCTACTCAGCAGGGGGTTGCTCATATAGGAGCGTGGCTTGGGGATGGTCCCCCTTTCAAACAAACATTGAGATTCCTGCTCCCAGCGGACAGAGTGACACGCCCCAGGGTGGGGCGGAGACCGTCTGGAGTGTGGCAGTACAGCAAGCTCCGGGCTGGACACATCCCTTCTGGACCCATCGGGCTCCCCAGACAGAAGATGAGAGGCAGGATGGGCCACATGGGTCAAACCCGAGAGCCCCAGGGGCCTGAGTATCTGGAGAGGAGGACACCCCCTTGGGATTGGCCACAGAGCCCACTTCTATGGGCTGAAGTCCTTGTTTGGCGCCAGGCATTTTGGAAGCCGGGTGAACAGAAAGTCACCGGGCTCTTCAGCATGCGGAGGAGTTGGCATAAGCTGTCGTGGACCGCCGGGGCTGCCCCTCCCTTCGCTGGGTCCAAGCAATGAGAAACCCTTTGTGTGGTTTCTCCAGATGAGGGGGTTCTGGTCCTGGAGGCCCTGGAGAGTCACGGTGGCGCTGCCGGGCGGGCAGGGAAGCTTGGTGGCATTGCCACTGGCCTTTAAGGCAGGGACTGTGAGTGGAGAGAGAGCAAGCGCGTGGCCTCTGAGCCCCAAGGGGCTGCCACGGTGGGAGGGCCGACTACCCATAGGAGGGAAGAAACCACAGTTCCCCAGAGCCTTCCTTCCTCCGAAGCTGCGTGGAGAATGATAAATTAAGAGGCGAATTAAATATGTGGGCAAAACCAGCAGGGACTCACAGGCCCTCCCGACAGTGGGGAGGAGGCGGCGGCTAGGGCTTCTTTCTGAGATAGTTGGAAGGAATCCACCCTTCCCAGGAGGGCGCCCCGCTGAGGACATGGCAGAACCACCAGCCACTACTGTTCTTTTCTCGAACCTCGAACACTGTCCCCTCCTGGAAGCTGCTCGTGTCTTCATCGCCTTCAAAGTTGGCCACGGCCACATACAAGTCCTTCGGGCTGTCGGCACCGGGGAGGGGGGCTGCGGCCACCCTCTCCCTGTTTTCTCCGATCTTGCCTACCATCCTCGGCCCCAGGCCCAGCCCGCCTTTGCCTGGATTGTCATCTTGGCCCCCTGAGGAGTTGGCGAGGAAAGGTTTGGCTTTTGGAGGGACCAGTAGGGCGCGGCCTGGGGCAGGAGCTGCCCGGCCTTCACCGGCCTCCCGCTGCGGCCCTCCGGCCTCTGGGAGTGGCCTGGAGCAGGAGGTTTTCTTGGGGGGCGGTGGTCTGCGGGGCGGGATCATGGGTCTCTGCTGGGGTGCCTCTTGGAGAGGCACGGGCGCATTCTTAGGCACAGGATCCGTGGTCTTGGCTGGCCTTGGAGGGGCTCTGCAGGGGGTCTCCTTCGGGCTGAGCCCGTCCTGCTTGCCTGTCCAGTCCTGTGCGCGGCCAGGCCCCTCCCCCGGGAGGAAGCTGCGGCTGACGGGCAGGTCTTGGCCCCCACTGGCCTGGTGGCTGCTCTCTCCGTCCAACAAGGGCTTGTCCTGGGACTTGGCAGGCCTGAGCTTGCTCCTGAGGTTGCAGATGTCCACTTGGTCTTCGCCCTGAGGTGGCTCTGTCCTGGGGGAAGAAGCTGGCTTTGGCCTAACCTGAGGTTTGGACTTGAAGAAGGGATTCTGGGGAATGGCTTCTGGTTTCTCCTCCGGTGGGTCAGCTTTGGATTTGGAGATGGGCCGGAGGTTGGGCTTCTTCACTTCCTTGGCCAATACTTTGTGGCCACATTCCAGCCCCATCTCATTTTTCAGCTGGAACAACTTGCTTTTGTCAGGTCTGGGCTCTGGCCTCCTGCCGTCCCGGGCTGGGGGGTTGTGTTTGGCCGGGATCATCGGCAGCACCGTGCCAGGAGGCCTGGGCGAGGGGCCCCGGAGCTGCTCCATCCTCTGCCGCTCCCGTTCCTGCAGCTCCCCTTCGGACTTGATGATGGATTCTTTCCGGGGGGGCAGGCTGGGCTTCTCCTCCAGGTCACGGTCCGAGATCTCCTCATAGCCAGCACACAACACGTCTGAAGACCCCCTTCTCAGGCCCTCCTTACCCCCTTTCCAGTCTTTGGACCATGGTACCCCAGGGTCCGTGGCACCGAGCGGGGCATCGGGCAGGGGCCGAGAGGGGCCGCTGGCCTCACTACCTGTGTTGCTCTCCATTGCTGCTGCATCTCCCAGCCGGAGCTGGGTCACCTCGTTGGGCAACGGAGCCAGGAAGTTGGGTCTCGAGGCATTGCTGGTCTTCTTATACTTGTCAATGAAGGTTGCCGGGGCCCATCCTTCCTTGTCGTCAATCTGAATGTACCACCAGCCACTCAAGTTCTTCTCGATCACCTGGATGGAAGGACAGAGGAAAGTACTTAGTAGGTTAGGGCTCCAGAGCCAGTGGACCAGGATGCCAGACGGGACCCACGTGCAGCTGGACCTCCAGAAGGGGGGCTTTGCACTCAGGAGGCTCCCAGACCACGGGTCTGGCGGACCATCCACAGAGACCACCATGCACCAGGAATACCTCACACACAGGGGGAGTTTCTCATCTAACTTTGGAGCTCCCCAGAAGGGGTCTCGAGCACCTGGACTTGCAGATAACTGGTCCACATGACAGATGACTGCAAGAAGTCACAAGTGAGGGGATGGGCAGTGTGAGAGCCGATTGTGAGCAGGTTACAGCTCTGGGCCGCTGGGGCTTAATCCACCAGGGATCCCCCGAGAGGCCATGGAGAATCAGACTGTCCCACTGGGGGCAGGGACGTTTACCTCCGGACTCACAGTTCTGCCCAGCCCCGAAGGGATTAATCCCCCCACTTTCTGGACAGTGCCCACAGGCTGCAGGAACCTGTATGCAGCTGCGGGTCAGACACTCAGGGTGCAGGGTGGGCCAGCAGCAGAGTCGGCTACGATTCTAAAGAAGTACTGATGAAACCGCACGCAGCCCACACTGGCCCCGGTGGCTACTCCTTGCAGGCCTTGTGGGATGAGAAATGTGTATCCTTAAACGTGAGAATCCCACTCAGCTCACGTTTACATTCAGGGAAAGGGATGCTGGGGGAGGTAAAGCAAGCGTCCATCTCCTCTCCTTCTCCCTCTGGGATATACACCCACTGAACGGAACGGTGGGTGGAACCACCCATGACTTTAAGGTGTTGTTTTACCTGTGGCCTTTCGTTCAGGACCATGTGTCTAAATTCACACGGGTGAAAGGTGTGCATGCTTCATGCTATGGGCAGAACTGTATCTACCCAAAATTCCTATGTCGATGTCCTCACCCCTGGACCTTAGAATGTGACTCTATTTGAAGACCGAGCCTTTGAAGAGGTAATTAAGTTAAAGGGGGTCATGAGGGTGGGGACACCTGATCCTATGTGGTGTCCTTATAGATTAGGACCCAAGGGCACATACACAATGAGGGACAACCATGTGAGGACCCAGGGAGAGGATGGCCATCTACAAGCTAGGGGGAGGAATCACCCCTGCTGACGCTTTGATCTTGGACTTCCAGCCTGCAGAGCGGTGAGAAAATAAATCCCCACTGTTTAAACCACCCAGTCTGTGGTACTTGGGGATGGCGGCCTGAGTGAATTAATACCTGCCGATCTCTGGTGGGCTCTGGGCACAGGAGGTCTGATTAATGCTCACAACTGCCCCATGAGATGGGGGTGATGACTCCATTTGACAGGTGCAGACCCGAGCCTCGAGCGACTCCGTGGTGGAGGTGGGAGACAAAGGCAGGCTGGTGGGCTCTGCAGCCTGAGCCCTCCCCCTATCTGCCTCTATTCTAAAGAAGGCACTCTGTCTGGGGAGGAGCTGTGCCTGAAAAAATAAAATGCTAGGAGCAAAGAGGGCTGAGGGCGCAGCTCTGTGCCCAGCTCGGAGAGGAATGGCGGCCACAGACTCGGTGCAGCAGGCAGCGGCCGGGCTCTGGGGCCTGCAGTCCTGGGCCCCAGTTCCGGCTTCACCACGTACTGTTTGAAGGACCCTGCGTGAACCACATTCCTGAGATTCCACACCACAAAAAAAGAGATACTGGTGAAAACGATCACCCCCGCTTGTGGGTTTTCATGATGATCACATAAGCTAAAGCATACATCAGCACTCGGGCAGATCCCAAAAGGTAAATGTTACCTATTATTAAATTACAGCAAAGGTCACTGAGAGAGCAAAATGCACGTGATGGGCATATACGTAAGTCCCACTGGACTCTCTCCAGGAAAGGGCACGGATAACTGTAAGCCCTTCACCTGAGGGCGACCAGCATCCTACCAACACTTGGTAGCTACGGTAACAATTAAAGGTGATTCTGGACATACAAGTCATTGTGGGCACATCCATGAATTCAACAGTTCTAATGCTAAGTATGAACAGGAATCAAAATGAAAAATACCAATGAAAATTTGCTAAGCTTACACTCTATGCAAAGTACTATGGCACGAACGCTAAGCATCTGTGCTATTAGTCATGACTTATGGGCGTTTTCATTTACTAGAGAGAAGGGAAGAGTTATTCTGAATAAAAACAAATGAAAAATCGAAGGGATGAAGGGGAAAGAAAAGAGCCCTGGGCTTTAAAGCCACAGGGACCTGGGGTCATATCCCAGCTGCACCGCTGACTACGTATGTAACCTTGACCAATTTACCTAACCTCTCTCTGTCTCAGGCACATCTGTAAAGTGGGCTGAAGACACTGACCTCTCAGGACTTGGAGTAGGTACCAAGTATGTGAGGTACCTGGTACAGAGATGCCTGCATCACTGCCGTCATTAAACATGTTACAAAGATACATAGACTAGGCAAGGAATTAGGTGGGCCTCGTAGCTCTGCGGCCGGAACACTGCGGCTCCTTTAATGAATTCTGCGGGCTAACGCGATGTTGCAAAGAACCAGGAAGCAACACTGCACGAGAGGAAAATAGACTCTACAAAATGGATCACAGGAAATCAACACTTGGATAAGCCAAATACTTCATATACTGCTTGCTATTAACCGATGTTACCACAGTAAATTAAAAAAAAAAAGTCACAGGCAGACAAAGGGACAGCAGGTTCACTCACCTCGACCTTCAGGCCCGCCTGGAAGCTGATGCCATCGGGGATGGTTGTCTGGAATTCGGCAATGGTGTAATACTCTTCCTCCACTTGAGGCGGGATGGGGGGCTTGGGCAGGTTGAGACCTCGAGGCTGGTATAAGTAAATAAAGTGCTAAGTCCAAAGTAAGTCCATTACCTCGGTGCTGAAAGAGGGGAGTGGGGGCGTGCTAAGGGACAGGGCACACGATCGTCCTCAAGGGGGCGCTGATGGACCCATGGGGCAAAACTAAGAGCACCGTTCAGATCTTTACCTCCTTGATGCGTTACTGGCCCTTCAGCTTTAGAGCAAAGAGAAGACACATTTGCCAACAATCCTGAACATCCGAGGCAAGACCAATATTCTCTGAACTTAAGAGGCAGCGAGGGTTGTGGAAAGGACACACGTTTGCGAATCACACCCATCTGGGTTAGAAACACAGACTCGGTGTTGTGAACGGGGAGCCTCTGTTTCGTCTCCTGTGGAACGTGGACACAACAGGACGCCCCCCACAGGGTCACTGTGAGCATCTGTAAGTGGATGCAGTGAAGCGCCCGGCACACTGCGTGCGCCCAACCGGTGCTCCCTGATGGCAGGAGGTAAAAAAAGACGACCCACTTTTCAATGTATTGGTCAGCAAGGCACCAAAGGAATGAAAAATGCAGAAAATAAAACATCAGAATGGCACTACAGATGGTTTTTGAGCCTCATCCCAGTTTCGGTGTCAAGTCACCTGGCCTGAGAAGACTGACCTAAGACAAACATGGGCTAAGACTGACATGGGCTCAGGAAGCACAGGATATATCCTGAGGTCTAAGTGTCGCAAAGCCACGGGCAACTTGTTCCCCCTCACCCCCTTAATGGGACTAGCACTTGTCCGGCCTGCTACGCGGGACCTCTGGGTGGATAGGAAGGGAGCTTTTTTGGAAAGGTCCAGGTTCGTGTGAGAAGCTGGTGTCGGGTCAGGGGCTGGCTCCCCAGCCCCAGGGGCCCACTTACTATGGTCATATCCCGGCGAGGAGGGGGTCTCTGCCTCATCTTGGGTGATCCTGTGAAAAGACAAGATGTTATTTCACATGCGTGCAGAATTCTACGGGTGAAATTCCGGAGGGGGATACCAGGAAAGACCTGTTCCGTCCTGGACAAGATAAGGCACAGCGCTGCGCACAGACCTTAGCAAGCTGCTGGGAGCCTTCCCGCCAGAACAACTGGATCAGGAAGGGGCCATTCAAATTTGGCTCAGGAAGGCCAGGGCTACAGCGCTGGAAAGCTTTCCAGGGAGGGCAAAAGTGTAGGCTTCGGGATAACGCAGAGGCGGGCTGCAGCAAGCTTTCTGACTTCCTGAGCCACAAGGCCCTCGTCTGCGGAGGGAGAGCAGTGCCTGCCTCCCAGGGGCAGAGGTAGAGATGAAAGTAAACAGTATGTGTGAAGCTCTCAGCACATGGCAGATACGCCATACATGTTACTGCCTCTGGCTTTGTGTTCTAGAACAAATCTAAATTGAGCAACATGAAAACAGAACCGAACTGAGGTTGATAACTTCAGGAGTTTTTGCTCTGGAATGGGGTTGCCCTTACTGTGGGCCTCGGGGTCAGGAGGAAGATGACTCTGCAGTGGTCCAAGGCTCCTGGCTAAAGGCAGAATGTTGAGAAAGGCACCCCGTGTGTTGCCAGAGCTGGTTTAGCACATGTCTGCACAGAGGCATAGTTTGGCGGTTGGGGTGTGGAGATGACTGCTAATCTCTTCGATAACCACTTCTGTCTCCCATTAGCACAAATAGCAGCAGAGTTTTAGCCAGACAGCTAGCCGCCTATATAAAAACAACATTTCCTAGACTCCCTTGCAGCTAGGTATTGCCAGGTAACAAGTTCTAGCCACAGGATGTGAGAGAGTGGGAACAGTGTAGCTTCTGGTCTAGTCAGCCACTTCTCTCTGCCTTGTTTCATTGACTGAACTAGCCGTGAGCCGTCTGAGACCAGGAAGATGAGAGCAACACACGATAGATGCAGCATAACAAGATCCTAGACTGCACGCAATAGCCACAGTAGCCCTGGACATTATCTGAACTCTTATAAGAAAGAAGGAAACATCTGAATGACCCATGCCACTGTTATCGGATACATGTATGTGGTGGTGGAGATGTGTCTTTCTTTGAGCATCTGAACCTATCTTAACATGGGGTTTCAGACCTTCGCTTGCTCCTCTAGGTTACATAGGATCCTCCTGTGCTCTTCGCCATGACAAATTAGAGTCACAGAATCTAGGTGCTGGACAGAACCCCTGCCACGACTAGTCAATGCTTTCTCAGAGCAGCTCAGCAGAGACGGTGAGACTCAAGACATTTTTGGGCTAAAAGAGCCCTATTAAAAGCTAGAGAAGCCCAGCTGGGGACAAACGACTTCATTCCCATGGCCAACAGGAAGCTGGGCACTTGAGGCTGGAATCCTAGGAACATAGCAAACAGTAATGAACCCTAATCTCCAGTGGGTTGGGCACATTAAATGGTAAAATATATACTTGCTTTGAAAAGCAAGATGGGTAAAGAACTGTTGTTAGAATAAACCCAACATAAAATGGTCAACTTTTTCTTCCTCTGCCTCAGAAACAAGGCCAGGGAGCACTGCTGCTGGAGTCAGGCGGGCCTGGGTTCAAATTCTGGCCCCACTGTTTACTAGCTGGGCAGCCTGGGACAAACCACTTGATTTCTCTGTTTTCCAATCTGTAAAAGTAGGAAGTCCCTCCAAGGTCGTTATGCAGAGTCAATGAGACTAATTCTTATGTTCCTGGCACACAGCAGGGCTTGAGGAGCAGTAGCTATCTGATCATCTCGAGACAGTGGAAAACGTGGCCTGGAGTAGGAAAGCAGCGTCTCTCCACCCAGGCTCCGCAGCTGGCTGGCTGAACGATCCGGAACGAGTTACCCAGGGTTTCCGAGCCTCCGCTTTCTTATCTACAGCATGACCGACAGTGTATGAAGAGCATTGAGCACAGAGCTGGCCCCCCAGCCGCCGGGACTCAGGTGGGCATCACTCACTCGGCTTGACATCGCCGTCTGGCACCGGACGGCCTTCAAACCGGACGTCCCTCTGGTTGCCGAGCAGCTCCTTCTCCCTGCCCACCGAGTTCTGTGGCCGGGAAACTCCATCCAGGTCAAGGACACCCACGTGGGCAGACGAGCCAGGGCCCAGCTTCGGGGGGAAGGGCTCCCCGCTGCTCTTCTTCAGGTACGAAGCTGGGGCCCAGCCCTCTTTGCCCTGGTACCTGCGAGGAGGAGGAAGGACACTGGTCAGGCTGTTCTGCCACCCACAGGAAGAAGCTGCACTCCCACTGTGAATCACATCTTGGAACCCAGATGGCAGGAAGGACGGGGCACCAGTGCCCAGGGCCAGAGGCTGGCACAGCGCTTGCTGCCTCCTGGTGAAGCCTGAGCCCTCAGAGCTCAGCATTCAAGGCCTTCCAACCCGGCCTCTGCTTGCCCCCAGCCTTGTCTCTCACAGCAACCCCTCGTCCCGCCGTCCCACCCACCCGACTCGACTGGGCCTGCAGCCTCCCGAACACGGTGACCTCTTTCAACCTCCACACCCCCCAGCTCTTGGAGATCCTGTGCCCACAAAGCCCCTTCCCCCTCTCCTCCCTGCTCCTCTTTCCCAGCTCTGCTTAACACCTTTTCCCCCCTCAAGCCCTTCCTGAGCCTCACCAAGAATGAAGCCCTCCCTCCGCCCCGCCGCCTGCGCATACCAGTCCCCCATACCCACGACACAGACACACCTGGCAGGTCTGTCTCCCCACACAGAACGTGAGCTCTGGGGCTGAGCCAGCTGTGTGTCAAGGGTCTCGGTGCCACTCAAGTGCAGAAAGAAAGGGACAAGTGGGCAAACTGCAAAGGGGCCTGGCAAGGGGGAGCAGCCTCTGCTATAGTCCCTGTGTCCTTACAGCCATCGCTGCGATGACGACAGTGATAACTGGTGCTTAGTGGGCACTGACTGTTCTCTTCTGGGTACGTTACAGCCATTGATGGCTTCCGTCCATCCAGTCCCAGAGGCAGTGGACAGGCACTCAGACCCAGGCTGCTGCCACCTGTCTGCACCTGTCTGCTGCCTACCTCCCAGGCTCGGCTGCCTCTTCCCAGCAGCTCCAGCGCTGAGCACAGGGAGGGCGGGGCTCTGGGCAGCTGGTTCCATGTGCATTCAGAGGGAATGAAGCAAGTGGGGGCTAGTTCCTAATCTCACCCAGGATCAGCTGGGTCCCTTCCTGAACTGCAGTGACAGAGACCCTGGCAGACCAGCTCAGACTTCCGACCGGAATCCAGGGAGTACAAGGGTCACTTAACTCTCTGCACGGAACTCAGTTCATGGCGACAACCCAAGGGGCTGGGAGGGACCGCAGGTGCCCCAGAGCTGCTGACATTGTGTGTGACGGCCAACAGCGCCCATCTCTTTTGAACTCCAGGTTCAAGTGACATCATACTGGACGCTTGAAGCTGGCCAGGGTGGGGGTGTTTACACCACGGAAATTGGCAAACTCGGTGACTCAGGAACATTTTCCCCTTGGGGAGCAGTTGTCACACATTTCCCTGCACCCCCCCCTGGTCTGGCCTGGAGAACAGGTGCCTACGCCTTTGGGAGAGTTGGACACACCTCACTGACCGGCAGTGATACCCAACAGGGCCAAGCATCTTGGCAAGAGCTACTTTAAGAACTAGGAGGTGCTGTTTCAATGAAAAACAGGTCCTCTATAACTGAAAGCGAATTTATAAAGATACGGAAATCTGCAGAGCTCGGCAGCTACCAATCTTAAAACACCAACCCTCCGAGGGGGAATAAACTTTGTCTGAGTTGGAAAATGCCATGCTCCCCGCACCCCTCAGCCTCAAAATGAGACAGTTCGTTAGGCACAAAGCCATCAGCAGAGGCCACACGGGCAGCATGAGTGTGCTCTGGGGTGAGGAAAGTAGGGGTTCAAATCCTGACTCTGTCCCTTTCTCCCTTCAGTCCAACCTTCAGGGGACTGCGACCTCACTGATACTGGGCTGCAGCCTCAGGACGGACCCAGGGCCAAGTGAGCCATTCCCGAACTCCAGAGCCTCAGGTTGTGGGGTAATTTGTTATGCAGCAAGGGAGCACGGGTGCTCAGAGTGCTATGCATCACTGTCATTACTCCTACGGACCTCGGTTCTGCGGATGCCCTCCCTCAGGGAGCCTTCCTGACCCCGGGGCTCAGAAGCCTCTGTTCTGCACTCCGAGCTCCCCTGTGACCCAACGTGGCCTGGGATGGTGTACGAGCCCGTGCTCAGGGCCTGTTGCCGTGAATTGCAACAGTGTCGCTGTGCGTTTGCTGAATGAAGGAAGTCTCCCACACTCGGCCCCACTTGAGTAGGGTCACAGGGCCCTCAGGCTTCTTGCCCCAATTTCCTGTGGTCACTGGCTGGCTTCCAGGGGGACCAAAGAGGGGGTTCCCGGGACTCGTTACTCAACCCGGGAAAGCACCAGGCAGACCAGCGTGCTGAGCTGGCACCCCACCTGTCTATGGGGGTTCCAATCTCATGACACAGGGGAAGGAGCGGCGACAACGTGTTTGAAAGGCCTTCACCACTGAACTCGGAGAGACCTGTGCTGGCCTCAGAGCCGCCGAAGAGGGAAATCACACACGTGGCAGCTCGGCCGCCAGCTCCTCGTTAAGAGAAACATCTGGAGGTGGAGGCCAGTCTTGCTCAACAGGGTCACTGCTCTCTGTGGTTCGCTGTGTTTGGAGAAGGTTTTGCTTATTACGGATTTTTAGAGAAGGATCTGAGTAGGGAGCAAAGCCAAACAGCACAGAAGAGAAGTGTCCCGTTATGGCTCGGGCCAAAACCCCACCAAATCTGCCATGGCTCAGAGACCTCTGTGCGGCTGGAGCCCACGTGACCTGACACCCACCCACCCGCAGCAAGTACCTGATCTTCCACCAGCCTTCGAGGTTTTTCTGAATGACCTCTACCACGGCCCCTCTGTCCAGGTTCATCTCATCCTGGTCACGAGCCGTGTATGGGTAGATGACTGTGTATTTCTCCTCTGCGGACACAAAGGGGTGCCGGGTAAGTCAAGGCCACCGAGGGTCCCCAGACATCGATGGCCAAGGCTGTGATCTGTGGGGTGTCTTTGCCCAACAAAGGGAACGATTTTATCCAGAGATTTCTGTGCGCCCACTTGGCCCTGGATGACGGTGCGCAAGCAGCAACAGCATATGGGCCAAAGGCAGGTCCAAATCCCTCAGCGTCCCACATTCCTCTCGCCTCCTTCAAACGAGTGCTTCAAGGTCACCTTCCCTGACCTTGCCTCATGCCATATTCAGACCCATGGCGTCCTCATTGCCCTTGCCCAGGCTTACTTCCCTCCCACACCAGGGATTACGTTCTATCACATCATATAATTCACTTATTTATTGTGTTTTGTTTGGGGACTGTTTCCCCTTAAAGGCAGGGGTCTATGTCTTTCCTGTTCAATCCTCTGTCTCCAGCGCTGAGTATTGAGAAACTGTGCAGCAGATGCACAGGTCCCTGCGGCCTGGTGGGAGCCACCCTGCTCACGCCGGAGGGGGCTAAACCCTCCGTGGCCCCTCCGCAGTCCTCGCTGGGGGCGGGTCAGGGATGAGCTGGATCGGGCAGTGCGTGGTCTCCGGCTGAAATCACTACCGAGGAGACAGCCAGCCACTGTCACCACCTAGCTGGTAACTGATCTTCATTTGTCATTAATTACTTTTAAGGCCCTGAATCCAACCGTGCCCGAAGCTCAATTTTACATTTTAAATTAATTTTTAAATTAAGATGTAACTGACATCTGACGGTGTACTATTCTTAGGTATACGAACATAACAATCTCTATAGCTACATACAGGTGTATCTCACAAGACGATCACCTGCTTCAGTTTCCATTAATGGGACCGGGGTGCCTTTCACCCCACTCTCCGGGCTCCTGCTCCCTCCCCCAAGGCCAGAGGACCATCCTCAGGGCCCCAGTCTCCTGTGAGAGAGCTGCCTCGAGCTGTGTCCCTCCCACAGCAGGGGCCTGAGCTCTGATTGGAAGGGCTGGTTATTGTCACACTCAGGCAGGGTCCTCCAGAGGGCAAGAGGGTGGCCCCTATCCCCAACACCGTGGGCAGTGACTGCTGAGCCAGAGAACAGCTGAGTGTCCCAGGGGAGGTGGGGAGAGGGCTTTCCTGTTTGGGTTACATCCCGGCCCCCAGGGTGAGTGAGCCAGCTGTGGGCTGGTGTTGATGGTTAGCGTGCTGGGGCCGACTCTCCCTTTGGGAAAACACCACTGTCTGTCTGTGGCCTGCCGGGCCGGAGTGGAGGGAGACGGACAGCCCACAGGGCGTTTATTTATTTATTGGTCTAGCCCACTGACCTGCTCCGTGGGGGCCGAGCTGACTCAAGTTACACATATCCTGTGTACAGCAGCGTCAGCTGTTCCCTCGCTCAGGGAGGCTGCAGGCTGGGGTGCGGGGTTAATGCAACCCGGTCTGCGCACAGAAGTTCTGTCTGGCTGGGTCTCAGGCCAAGTACGGGTTGCCCCACGGGCCTCGGACACCTGGGGCTGGCACCCCCTAGCTGTGGGGCACAAGGGGATTCTCTAGCCCAGAGGTCTGTCTCTGTGGGCTCCGTGGGACCCTCAGTGACCCCTAGTGAAGTTTAAGGTAGAAGACCTTGCAGACTGCATGGTGGGCGCTGCCTGAGGGCACTGCCACTTAGCACCTGCCTGCCCTTCCTCTGGTGGCACTGCCAGCCTCCGTCCACACGGTTTGGGTGAGGCCAACTTCCCTGCCTCTGGAGGAGGAGGAGGGTTTGCTGTCTGGCCCTGGCATCCCCCTGACCACCAGGATTGGACCAGGGATGGCACATGACCCACGTGGGTCAGTTGGAAGCCATCCTGAGATTGGTGTTTGGTAGGTGTCCCCGGAACTACTCTTGCTACGAGAGAATGGCTCCAGCAAGGGAGAGGTGGCAGGAGTATCTCAGGCCCCCAGGATGCTTTCAGGCCCCTGGATCCAGCCATGCCTGCAGCTATACCTACTCTTGGCTTTTTAGTGCTATGAATCAATACACTTCCCTTCTTTGCTTAAGCCAGTTTGACATGGGTCTCTTTTCCTTGCAACTCGAACGTGCCCGATGAAAGGAACAGGTCACTAGCTCAGCGTTAGAGAGGCCCCAGACATCACTCTTTAACCTGGGAAACTTTAAGGCCCAGGACCTGTCCTCCCAAACCCACATGCTAACACACACACGGCACAGACAAGGCCACTGTGTCTCACATGCAACAGGCACAGAGCAGGCAGGTGCGTGCAGATGCAAGGACCCGGCTCCCAGCCCCGAACGGGGAAGCAGACTCTGAAGCAGACACCTGGACGCCAGCTGATGGCATACAAGTCCCCCAGGGTCCGGCGGCGGCCCACAGGCCGGGGCAAAGACCAGTACCTCCACGAGACTGGACAGGCGGCATGTGGAGGGGAAGGGCAGAAGGCAGAGGTGAGAAGAAAGCACTTCCAGGGTCTCCAGGCAAAAGGGACGTGTCCCCATTTCAGAGAAATTATTTCTGAGTCTATGCCAAACCCAGGTGTCTCAAAAGGACTGGGTTCCTGAGGATTAACCTTGCACTTGAGTAAAGAGGCACCCGGGAGACAAAATTCTATCCTTGGCACAATCTTAGAGAAGCACTGAGAGAAGCTTTTGTGGCAAGGGGAAAGAAAATGTACAAATCCTTGGGAAAACGTGGTCTCTCTCCCATCTACTAGCTGTGTGACCCTGGGCAGGTGTCTCTACCTTTCTGAGCCTGTTTTCTCATCTGCGAAATGGGGACAACAATCAGCCCCTTAACCGAAGCGCGCCCACGTTGTCATTAACCATCTGGGGGAGCTGGAGTTTCCAGCAGTAAACACTGCTGCCCCTGTTCCAAGCGGACTTCGTAGTATTACCCCAGTCCCCCCCGGGGCCTCACAAATGCAGAGCAAACCAACAGATATTTGACTCAGGGCTGCTGGCCCCGATAAAACTGAGCACAAAGCCATATATAATCCTTGAGCACAGAAACAGCTCCCTTCCTCTCGCTCTCTGTTCTGATAGACACTTCGGTGGCTTTGCGCTTCCCCAGAACCACTAACTAAAAGGTCCAGAGGCTCAGCTCCAGGTAAGCATCCCTACATGATAATAACTGGTCCTCATTTGTTATTGTTGAGGGTGTTTGTCAAGGGCTTTGCCCATGGGATCTCATTTAATTAAAAAAGAGATCCCATGATGCAGACATCATTTCTGTTTTTTGAGGAGGTGGAGGCGTTGCAGAGGTTAAGATGCCAGCCCAGGTTCACTCAGCCGGCAAGTGCTGCAGCTGAGATTCAAATTTTTGTCGGTCTGACCTTAAAATCCTTCTGCTCCTTAGCTAGATGGACACACACTCTAGTTTTAGGAATGCTTTTGGAGGGGATGGAGTCTGTTGGGCCTTAGCGGTTCAGACATGGCCGGAGCCACCCCTTCAGGACACCTGTCCGGGGAAATTCTCTGGGAATCAGAAGTGTGTGTAGGCCAGCGAAGGGGGTCGGCTCTGACCCTGACACCCACTCGGGGCCATTAAGCCAGCCCAGAGGGCAGAGGTCTTTACAGGTGCCTTCCTTGTCTTGCAGATGCGCCAGATGCAGCCGCCCCATATGGTGGCTGTGAGAATGATTCAGGGGAGGACAAGGGACCCTGTTGACAGGCTGGGGCCCCCTGGGGTTCCATGCAGGTATCAAGGCTCAGCTCCCTCCGGGCCCCCCTGGGTTGGCTCCCAAAGGCCCCTAAGAAAGGGTGGGCTCGCCCATCATCCCTGACCCCATGCCTGGCTTCACATCCCCAGGCTACTTGGAGGCAGACGTGAAGAGAAGGGGCTGGGTGAGGAGGCGCTCGCCAGGGTGGCCGGCCAGCCCGGGTCTCCCCAGCAGGCCCGAGGCTCCGGCTCCGGCTTACCTTCCTCAGGCTGCAGGGAAAATTCATCCTGCCCACCGTCCTGCCCTTCCAGGCAGGTCGCGGGGACCCAGCCTTGCTCTTCAGCGGTGCTGACGAACCACCAACCTGGGAAAACGAGAGTGTAGACCGATGTCGGCTGGGTCAGGGGCGAGGTCTGGGTGAGAGTAACATATTCAGTCACTACATGCGTCAACCCTCGGGTAAGAAGGCTACAAAGGCCCCTTTACTGGAGGAACACACCTTGCCACGTCAGCTGACTGCCACCTGGGGAAGAGGGGCAGAACCAACCTGACCCGAGAGGTCATCTCGAAAGGCGAGAGTAAAGAACACAGCTTCCTTCCTTAGGGTTGTGCAAGGCACTATTGTACTTGCATTGTCTTACGTATCTTCATGTTACCATCCTCAATGCACGGATGAGGAAACTGAGGCTCCACCTGGAGAACACACCCGTCCAAGTTCTCCCGGCTGACGGCAGGGCTGTGCGTGCACCAGAGCCGTCTGCCGCTGAAGCCTCCGCCCCCCGATAACTCACCTGAACCTGCACCGGTCTGTGCATGGCAAGCTCACGCCGGCTGCAGATGGGGCTGCCTCAGAGGCTCTCCCCACACTCAGGCCCTCCCTCTTCAGAGAAAAGTCAGCGTGAAGCTTATGGTGGGCAGGATAATGGCCCACCAAAGACCGCCACATAATCCCCATGTGGAACCTATGCATGTGCCAAATTACGAGGCAAAGTGCCTGAAGGTTGCAGACGGGATTAAGGCTGCCAATCGGCTGACCTTCCAATGGGGAGATAGATGACCCTGGATTACTTGGGGGCACCAATGTAATCGCCAGGTCCTGAACTATGGAAGAGGGAGGCAGGAGAGTCAGGGGACACGGCGGGGGAAGGAAAGCACAGAGGGACGACACTGCTGGCTTTGACGATGGAGGACGGGGACACCACACACACACACGCACGTGCACCTCACTTTATGGAGCTTTGCTTTGTTGCATTTTGCTGATAGTGTATTTTTTACAAATTGAAGGTAAGACCCCCCCATCCCACCAGCAATAGATTATGACTCACTGAAGGCTCAGATGATGGTTAGCATTTTGGGGCAATAAATTGTTTTTAATTGAGTTATGTACTTTTTTTAGACATAATGCTATTGCACACTTAATAGGCTGTAGTATAGTATAAACATAACTTTATATGCTTCGGGAAACCAAAAGGAATTCATGTGATCTGCTTTATTGTGATACTTGAAATATTTGCTCTATTGTGTAAAACCAGACCTGCAATGTCTCAAAGGTCTGACTTTACACACACGCCTGTGCACACACGTGTTTGTTGCGTGCATACAATTATCATGAAGAATTTATGCCAACCGAACAGAAGAGCACCTTTGGGGTTTGGAAAAAGGACTAGGGTTGAAGTTAGTGGGAAAAACAGATTTTTAACTTTATCATGAATGTGTTAAGAAGCATGTATCCATATATGTTGCTTGGATAAGTAATATATATATAATTAAAAAGAAACGTTGCCAGTTGGTCAGTCACTTGAAGGTTTGACTATCTGCCCCCCCCAACTAACCAGTCTCTGGATGGGCCAGGCTTGTCCCTAATCCCACACCCTGGCTCCTCCCCCTCCCCTGCAATGCATCCTTTCTGGCTTCGCTCAAGCAGTGGCCTGGAGGGTGGGGGGACTACTTTCTTCAGTCCCCACGGAGCATCCCAGCCACGCCAATAGTCTGCATATACTCATTCCCAGAAACTAGGAGGTCACATGGCCCGGGGGCCAGCTGGAATTGGTTTGGAATTCCAGCTCAGCAGGCTGTCGGGAGACCTTGGGTGAGTGACCCAGTCCCTTGGAATCTTGGTTTCTCCAGCTCTGAATCAGGAATAACAACTGCTATGTTGAGTGATCAAGGACGTTTGGTTGGCTAACCCCGATCTCATGACAGACGGGAACAGAATCCATGAGCTGCTGAACACAGTCTTTCCACTGGTTATTAAATCTCAACTAGTCATCAGGGCGTCACAGAGATGGGCCTGCTAATGGCACTGCAGCCGGTGTCCCATTTGAGTCACCACAGAGCCAGGGGACTTATGTCACCTTTTTTGGGAGAGGATCTGCTCACCCTGCTCTCTACTCTGTGACTTCACTGGTGCCAACAGCCGCTGTGTAGCTAAGGCAGGCAAAAGGGAAGGAAACGCACTTTTTGGAGCACCTACTCTGTGCCCAGCACAGGCCCAGGCACTCTCCCTAGGTCCTCCCCTTGAATCGTCACACCAGCCCTGGGCAGCAGAAGTGTCCTTTATTTCGCAGACAGAGAAGGGATGGTCAGAGACGAGCCTGGGTGGCTGTGACAGGCAGCGCTCACACGGAAGCCCGGGCTCGGCGTCCTGACGTTCCCCATTTCGTACCAGACCTGGCCAGCGCACGAGACCAGAGGTCCCTGCAAGGGCAGGTGCACTGGGGAGCCCGGCAGTGTGCACAGCCCAAAGCGGACCGGAGCCCTTCGTGGAGACTCCCGTGGTGATCAGAGAAAATCCACAGAGCAAATTTGCAGTGGAACTCCAGACTCCGTGCCTCCAAGAGCTTTGAAACCAGAAGGGATGTTCATGGAATGTGAACCTCAAAACAAATCAGCCACATCTGACCTGCTGATCAGTGACGACATGCTGGTAACCTGTGACCCGGTAGGACATCTGAATGCCGTGGCCCAACAGAGGCAGCTTTCTAGGAGGTCATCGGCCCGACCCGTGGACACTGACCGGCCTGGATTGGCTACAGCGCTTCCTGAGTTTCCAGGGGCCTCCTGTCCTTGAGGCTCAGTGCGGGGGTGGGGCAGGGAAGGAGGCGGTCCGGTGCCTACCTGACTCGTTCTTCTCGATGATGTCCACCACCTGCCCCACGCTGAGGCTGATCTCTGAGCTCTCCTGCTTCTGGTAGTCCGCCACCACGACGTACTGCTCCAGGACCATGGGGTCCACCGAGGTCGGGTCACTCCCTGGGGATGGAAAACACCATCAGGGGTCACATCCGCCCACCACCTGTGAGTGAAGGAGCAGTTGCCTGGGGAGGAGGCCCCTCCTTTCTCTAAATAGAGAGAGAAGCTGCTACCGCAGTAGACTCACCCTTTCATTCTTTCATTCACTCGCTCACCCACCACGATGTACCAAGTGGCTGTCCTGTGTGGGCATGGGGCTCAGGAATGGAGGTTCAGAGTAAGATATGATATTGGCCCTATTCTGTTAACAGTAGCTTTTAGACTATAGTTCCCTGCTGTTCAGTGGTTCAAAAGAGAGCACATGGGGTTGATTTTTCTGCACCAGTTCTTCCAGAGCAGGTTGCCTTCAGCACCCCCACACCCACAGCACCCCATCTATCAAGACCAGGAACACCAGGATTTGAAATGCCAAGATGCTCAAACTAGGCTTCAGGTCAGTTAGGCGTTATGTGGAGACACCTCCTGGTGGACCGTGGTATTGCAGCCAAGCTCTATAGTGCACAGTTAAGGGCCAAACCCTGAAGTTGAGGCTGGTCGGGGGAGTTAAAGCTCTAGGAGCCTCGAGTGTGAAAGGAAAGTATTTCCAGGCAAGAAACATCACTCTTGTGGTCCTCGAAAAAGAAGAGAGAAGAGCAGAAAGGAAGGGAGATTTTACCGTGGAAGCAATTGCTATGAAGTATTCTCAGGATGCAAGTGCCTCATCGACCACAGACTTTTCTAGTTGGCTCTGTTTTTATCCAAGACGACATGTCTTAACATTTAGAAGTAACTGCTATGGGCAAGCCTGCTGAAGCCCTCGCAGCCGTGTGTGGCACAGGAACAGGGTGGGGGGCCAGAAGGCAGCAGCCTACAAGCCAGGCAGGGGTCCCACACCTCCACATCTGCGTGAAGACAAGCCTCTCAGTCTGCAGCTGTTACAGCAGCCTGTGCAGACCAATACCAGGAGCAGCAGTGAAGTGGGATTTGCTTCCCAGAAAGCCACTACGCTGCCAGTCTTGCTCAGAGTCAGGAAAGGGTAGAAAATCAGGGACAAAGATGCTTCTCCCATGACCATCTATCCCCCTGACCCTCCCCTCGCCCCTGCATTCACCGCTCTCCGTGCCCAGGAGTCCTTTTTCCGTTTTGCTCTACCCCTCCATTCGCTAATCCGCACCCCCCTCCCCAGAGCTGTCGTCCTGCTCTCTCTCTCTCTGTGAGCCTGTCTCTCTTTTGCTTGTTAGTTCAGTTTGTTCATTTAAAAAGATGCTCTTAAACAATCACACGACCTATTCACTTTTGGTGGAGAGTTTTGTTTTGTTTTTTTATTCCTGCAGGATAAACAGGATTTGGGAGCACAGTAGGCCAAAGTCTGCAGGAGCCAGCAGCCCGCCATGGCCGGGAAATTCTGGAGACAGATAAGCCTTCTCCGACTCAGACATCTCAGGGCTTGGCTGTCAACTTTAAATCCCTTTCAAATTCAATCAAGAGGGCTGGTTCTAACCTAAAGGAAGTGCGCAGAGGTCAGGCAGAAAATGAGGCTAAGCCCAGCAAGGGCGCTTCCTGGGAGAAAGACGCTATTTTCCACCCGGCTGAACTATAAATAAGTCACTGCAGGTGGGTGACAGACCAGTGGCTGCCGCAAATTAGAGCTTCCTCTCTGTTTTCCAGACCAGTCCCTTCATCAAGCCCGTCTGCCGGGACACTTTTGTTTTCACAAACCAGGGCTGTCTCGTTCCTCTCTGCCTCCCACCCGCTCCTTCCAGGAAAGGCTCAAAGCCAGAGACCCGTGACCAGCCCGAGAGTGGCCACTTGGCTCTTTTCTAAGAAACGTATCATTATCCCCAGGGCTCAAGAACTATTTGCAGCTGTCGCAGGATGCCTGGCTCTGGCCAGTGCCTATTAAACCAGAAAGCGGGGCTGTAAACAGGCTGCAGAGGCAGGGGTCAGAGTTCACTTCAGAGCCACACCTTGAAGCAAAGAGAAGCAGTGCCTAGCACTCTTCCCGGCAAGAACAGCTTCGGGGCCTGGCAGGCCGACCCCTGGCCTTGGACCCAGTGGACCGGGACTGTTGAAATCGTTACTGATGCTGCTCAGGCACAGCCTCAGTTAATAGTAGCAGAATAAAAGCAGCAGGACACGCATATCACTTACAACATGGCGGGCACTGTTCTAAGTGCTTTATACGTATTATTACAAATTCCATAATCATCCTGTAAGGCAGGTTACTATTATTACCCCCATTTTACAGACAAGGAAGCTGAGGCCCGAGAGAAGAGGCATCCTTGTTTACTTCTGGGGCCTCTGCTGGGGTGCCCCTTTCCCCAACCCTCTGACGCTTCCCAGGGTCCCAGATGAATGAAGGAACTTAGACTTCTGGAAGCTCTGAAGCCCATTTGGCTCCAGGCGTGGCGCCGGCAGGGCCTTTGCAGATGTGGGGGGTGAGGTTGGGTCGCGGGCAGAAAACATCGGTGCTGACTAACCCAGGCCTGTGAGAACTCAGCTGTTCCTTTGTGTGCGCCCAACCCCATGCTTCTCATTTTCCACGACTGCTCTCCAGAGAGCGGTGGTGCTGGGCGGGGAAGGGCAAGAGCAGTGGGAAGGGAGAGAAGGGAGCACGGGAGCTGCAGGAAATGGCAGCTGTCAGAGCCCCCAGTGGTGGAGACTGGAGGTGAGCCTGGAGCTCAGGAAGGCGAATGGATGGGGGCCCAAATCTCTAGACACTTCCACCTCCCGGCCGGGATGCTGACGGGGCCCCTTGGCCCCGAATACCCCTCACTGGGCAAAAAGGTCTGCTCCCTCTTCAAGACCCAGGGTCTCTCTTTTTTAGCTCCTTCCAGACACCTGAGAAGGATGCTGTTAGCTCTGGGTACCATGTTCCTTTGTCCAGAGTGGAAGGGCAGTGAACACCCGTCAGCATGGTTAGGAAGTGGCCCTGTGACCCCTCCAGGTGTTCTCTGGGAAACACCGGGACTCATCCACTTCATAATTTTTTAGTGTAAGATGAAACAACCTCCAATCATTTTGGGGGGGAGAAAGAGGGTGGGGTATCAACTAACCAATCAAGCGATCAAGAATCCATTCATCCATCCACCCATCCATCCACCCACCCATCCATCCATCCAACCATCCATCACCCATCCATCATCCATCCATCATCCATCCACCCATCCATCATCCATCCACCCATCCATCACCCATCCATCCATCCATCCATGCACATGGCTGGGCCCCCAGCGTGGAGCCCAGGGCCTGGCACACACATCCTAGATGCTCAGCAGGGGTGTGATGCACACTGAAAGAACAGAAGAAAATGGAAGGTGTTCTTACCAGATTTCTTTTTCCCAACATGCTCCCTGCACAGGAAAGAAAGGGGGTGAGAAAAAGTAATGAGTCAGTGCCTGTTCTGCGTTGATGTAAGTTAGTCTGTTAGGAAACAGATTCTCTGTCTCGTAACATGTCTAGTCAACAAATAAAATTGAAGCCAGCCCAAGGGACCCAGATTCCTTAAAAAAAAAAAATCCTCTTAATTTTCTCCCTTTCCCAGATAAGTGCTCTGGTGCCCCTGGGGAGGAACTGGTGGCGGTGGCGGTGGGGGTGCCTCCACATTGCACCGAACCTGACGCCCACCTCGCCAGGCACAGGGGAGGAGGCCCTGCTCCATTCTCGGGGTCACTTGAGACTTAGACCTGGAGCAGACATCCCCGGTGACACGGGGACACTACTGCGGGCACACGCAATGCTGCGTGATGGTGACACCCTTACCCTTGTCAGTCAGGTCAGAGTTCACACATGCAACTGCATGACACATGCAGCATCACGACACAGGGTGCCTTTCAGGGGAATTATCCCGTCAGTAAAAAGGTTTCCAGTGTTACAGAGAGAAAAGCGAGGTGAGCAGAGGTCCGGTTGGGACAGGTGTTGTGACAACAGTGACATTAGCTACTTACTACTGAGTAATTTCCCTGTGCTGGGACCCAGCCAGGCCCTGAACTTCTAATTCACTCGTTTACTACTCATAAGAACCCCGGGGGATTGGTGCTCTTTTTATGCCCATTTAACAGATGAGGAAAACGAGGCACAGAGAGGTTAAGTAACTTGCCCTGGGCTACACAGCTAGCAAGTAGCACAGCCAGGGTCCGAACTCACGCCTATCTAATTTTTTAAAATTGAGATATAATTCGCACAGTGTGAAACTCCTTCTTGTAAAGAGTACAATTCACTGGTGTTTAATATATTGATAAGGTTCTACAACCATCACCAGTATCTAGTTCCAGAAAATTATCATCACCCCAAAAAGAAGCCCCCCTTCCCACTAGCAGTGACCCTCCAGCCCCCAGTAAGCGCTACTCTGTGCGCTGTCTGTAATTATCTGTCTGTCATGGACCTTTTACAGGAATGGAATCAGACAATGGGTGCCTTTTCACGTCTGGCTTCTTTAATGTAGCGTCCTGTTTTCAGGGTCCTTGCAAAAGAGCCTGTATCAACACCCCATCCCCCTCGGGCGTGTCTTTCTTGGGCTTTCAGCGTGGGTGGCTGTTGTGGGGGAGGAACTTGGGGGATGAAGGCATGTGAACGAGCTGGCGCTGTCTTTGTAGGAGCAGAGAGGGAGAAGCATCTGGAAGGCCTGCGACTCTGGTCTTCCTGAATGCGAACGAGCATCTCCACGTGGTGCCCACTCCTGCGAGACTCCCGGCAATCAAACAGACCCCCGGCATGAAAGACACCCGTGAAAGACGGCTCTGCCAGCCAAGGAGCGGTGAGAACTGGCTGCGTGCCTCCGTGTGCCAGGCAGTGTGCTAAGTAAGGACTTCACACACGCCGGCCACTCCCAGCCTCTCCGTGACCCTACCACTTCCATTTAAGAAGTGAGGAAGCGAAGTCCCCTGAAAAGCGTCGGAATAAAACTCCAACACCAGGAAGCTGCGGAAGAGGCTCATCCCTTGAATCATCACACACAATGGCCGAGGTGGGGGTGTTGCTCCATTTCGGCCCCGAACTCAGGAAACTCAATGTTGACCACACGCCACTTCTCTCACAGCCTCCCAGTCACCCTGTACTGCGTGGCTGGGGCAGGGAAGTGATCTCAATCCACAGATGAGGGAATGGCGGCAGAAAGGGAGGAGGTGACAGACGCCTCTGTCCCAGTGTGAGGGGGTCCCACAGGGATGCTTCCTTCACCTATAAAGCTCGACTGTCACTACCCACCTACAGTGACAATGAAGGCCCGGCCTGCTTGGGAGAAGTCCCCAAACCAACTTACTCTTTGGGTGGATTCAGGTCCTCAGGTCTCGTCTCAAAGAACTGCAGCACCTCGTCACACTGGGAGATGTAGGGGGGCAGCTGGATCAGGGCCTGGGGAAGGGACACGGGTGAGTGGGAGGAGAGGCGAGGGCGTCGGGTGGGCTATAAACTCGGGGTGCTCCAACCGGGGCGGGCGGCAGGGGCCCGGCAGGAAGGGGGCGGCCTGTTAAAACACGTTGCCTGGACTCCCCCTGCCCGGATCTTCTGATTCGAGTCTGGGGTGGTGCCCGAGAATGGGCCTTTCTAACACTCCCCGGCGCTGCTGCTGGTGCGGGGACCACACACACGCGCGCGTGCGCAGAGTATGTACAGGGTCGGCAAAAGTTAGGTTTATAGCCCTGAGCGCACGGAACAATTTATTCCGTATTATTATGTATTGTACCATGTGCCATACGAACAACTGTGAACCTGTGTTGGCCGCATCCTGTAGGTACATACATATATTACGGTCGTCTCTGCACAAAAAATACGCACGTATTTAGACAAGACCACAACCTGTGATGCTCACGCCATTATTCTTCTACGGCCACCACCTTCGCCGGATGGTGGGCGTCTGCTGGTTGGTGCACCCCACTTCACTCAGAGGGTTGCCTGCCAGGGGGGAACATGCAGGTCATTTCCGACATGCCTGCGTCCATGTTCTAACTCATGGACCTGAAGTGGTGAAGGGGAGGGGCTGGTTTTTAAAAACATTTAATATATATATATATTTATATATTTATTGTTTTTAGAGCAAGAGGAAGGGGGGAGAGAGACAGAGAACCATCAATGGGAGGGAGAAACATCCATCAGTTGCCTCCCGTATGTTTCTCAACTGGGGATCAAACCCACAATCTAGTATGTGTCCCGACCAGGGATAGAACCCGCAATCTTTTGGTGCATGGATGGGGCTCCAACTACCCCAACCACCGGGCCAGGACGCCCAGGGTGCGAAGGGCCTGTTTTATGAGTTAGGCAGAGGCGAGAGGTTCCCGGCTTTACAGGGTTGAAAATGCAAGACCACCCAGTGCCCGAGTTCGGGCTGTTCTGCCACCTGGGCTCACCAGTTAAAGGAGCCTCACCCGCCGCCTCCAGAAGGAGGGTCCGGAGGTGGGCAGGGGCACAAAGCGGGGCTGGCCTTCATTGTGCTGGCGTAGCCACCAGCAGCTCTTCACTCGATGATTCCGTGGACGTTTTTTAGGTCCAGCACTGCACGGGATTCTACGCCAAACGGGAGAGAAGCCGCAGGCACATGTGACCACAAAAGAATCCGAAAGGAAGACCCGGCTTCACCATAAACAAACAGCTCCGTTTAACAAACATTCACTCAAGCCGCCCCTGACCCTGTGCTGAGGACGCAGACCTGAGAGCCGCCGAGTTATTCTCTGCACACACTCCTTCACCAGCTTGTACGGATCTGAGCAGCACGGGCGACTCTGCTGGCCACCCCACCCCGCAGCGGAGGGGCCGGGGGACGTGGGACGGGCTCTCTGTGCAGAAGGCCTCAGTTCCCAGGTGCCTGGCAAGTGCCCTCCCGCCGCCCTCAGTGTGAGGCTGGGCTGCAAAGGGCAAGCCCTGAATCTTCTTTGCAACGAGCCCATCAAAGCCCCCTGCCCACCCTGCAAGGTGATGCTGCTCTTGGACTGCGAAGGGTTAACAGAGAGACGGCTGGGGGTCTCCAGCAGGAGCTGCAGGCACCTGGGATCACCCAGGATTTGTCCTTTTGTGACCGGCTTACTTCATTTAACATAATGTCCCCAAGGTTCATCCGTGTTGTGGCCTGTGTGGGAATTTCCGCCCCTTTCAAAACTATGTAATATTCCATTGTGTGGCTATACCACTTTTGGGTTGCCGACCCCTTATGACCTTGGAGTGAGGCTCTGAATTTAAGCCCCATCCCACCCCACATAAGACCTGCCCTGCCCTAGGACCTCAAGTGGGCAAACCTGTGAGGTGGGTGTTATTTGTTTTTTAAATATTTTATTTATTTATTTAGAGAGAGGGGAAGGGAGGGAGAAAAGGAGAGTAACATCCGTGTGAGAGAGAAACATCGATCGTTTGTCTCTCGCATACCCCCAATCTGGGACCTGGCTCCCAACCCAGGCACGTGCCCTGATCACGAATCGAACCTGGGACCTTGTAGTTCACAGGCCAGCGCTCAGCCCGCCCCAGCCAGGGTGGAGGTGGGTGTTTCAATACGGTCCCTCCCCTGGTCGCTGGCCGCTCTGCCCTTCTGGAGTGAAGGATGCTGACCTGGTGCTTGCGGCTCACTGACTTTTCACATTAACCCCGCAGCAGCGGCGGCGGTTCTGCAGCAGACCCCCAGGACCTGAGCTTCTCCAGGCCCGGGCCTGCCAGCCCAGGAGGGGGAGTGCAGCCCCCCCCCCCACTTCTGGCCGCCTCTCGTGCTGCTTCAGAGCAGCAGGTATTCCTTCTCCAGTCCAGGCCTTGCTGCGGCCCCCGGCCCCCGTGGGTGTCGTCCTCTGAAATCCTGCAGTTCTTGCACTTGGAGCCACATAATGAGGAGCTGGTTACATGCCGGACTGTGGTGTGTCCTGGCTGCTTCGTGTGCAGAAATCCTGCGGCTTCCCCCAGACTGCAGTAACAACATCCCAACTGTTGGCTCAGCACTCAACGGCCCCCTGAAACGAGGTCCGTCTGTGCCGCCGCAGGTACTCCTGCAACATTTGGCCTGTAAACCCACATCCACAGAGGGCAGGGGCATGTGGCTGTTCCTTCTCCATCTCCCCTCCACGTCCAGACAGTGCTGGGGAGACCCCGATACCTGGCCGAAAGGAAGACGGCTAGATGTGGCCACATGTGACTCTGGGGCAAGCGGGGTGGGCCCCGAGGTGGCCTCCCAGGGTGCTTCTTGCTGAAATGCGCAGAGGTCCTGAACCAACCCTGGGACAATGAGGTCCATGGAAACCTCCCGACAGTGCCAAGTTCTCTTTCGGTTTTGAGCAATTCCTGGGAAGTCAACGCCAAACCAAACCCCCAAACTGTAAAATACAGCCAAGTCGCTAATGCAAGGCAGCACTGAAGGCTTTGATGTTTGCCCCTTTCATTTGGGAAGGACAGGCTCACCGTAAAAACATGACCAGGGGCAGGGAAATAATTCTGCTTCTGAAATATTCCAGAACTGCCTGGCGTTTGGCCCGTGATGTCCAGCAGCCATAGTCCCAGGAAAGCCCAGGTCTGTCCTGGGTGGAATCCCGGCCCCACAGTCACAAGTGGCTGGTCGATGCAGGGAAAAGGGAAGAGCAAGTCGTACTTGCTGAGGGGACTCATTAAAGGTCAGATGGGCCCAGTTCCGGATTCTGGCTCCAGTCATGACCATCCCCTCCCTGCCCTTCCGGGTGCCCATCGGTAAAATGGAAATAACGAACACCCACCTCAGAGGGCTGTGTCACCGAGCAAGGGAGCCAGAGGCTAGAAGGACCCTGTGGTGGGCGAGCTGCTTGGGATAAGCAAAAAGTTAGCCCTTTGGCTTTCTGTACTTCAGCCAGCACAGCGCTGTGGTGAGTTCCAGGGGTGAGTCTGGAGTCAGCAAGATGATTACGCTAAATAACGGGCCTGGGCTAGAGGGAAGGCTTGTGGTTTCCCAGTGCAGTCTCGGTCCTCTTTAACTTCAAAAGAATGTCCCAGAAAGTGGACGCTGCTCTCTCTCTTTATGCTTTAAAAATTATATTCCACTGGGGTAAGAACGCTGACCATGAGACACCCCCCTCCGACAAACCTGCAAGTGCCCAGCACGGCGCTGTTGGCCATCGTACGGCCGGCCTCTAGAGCTCACTCTTCCTGCCGACCTAAACGTTGTGCCCGCTGGTTAGTAACTCCCCATTGTCCCCTCTCCCCAGCCCCCAGCCCACCATTTCCCTCTTTCGTCCTACGAATCTGACTCTTTCAGGTCCCTTCTACAAACAGAATTGTTGCAGTATTTGTCCTTCGGTGGCTGGCTTATTTCACTAAGCACAACGTCCTCAAGCTCCATCCAGGCCGTCACAAATGGCCGACGCTCCTCCTTTTTAAGGGCCGAGTGGTGTTGGGTTGTTTGCATCTCCTGCGTTTAGGTGGTTCCCGCGTCTCAGCCACAGTGAACAGTGCGCAGGGAACGCGGTCACGAGCACACTGAGGGATGAGAGGTGGTGGGCACGGGAGAGCCAGAAGCAGAGCTGACCTTGGACATGAACCCTCAGCAAGTGTCACTGCTCTTCGAGATCCTGATTTCAATTCTTTGGGGCAAATACCCAGAAGTGGGATCGCTGGCTGGTACAACGGTTCTGTCGTTAACTTGAGGAGGGACCGCCGCACTGCTTTTCACAGCGGCTGCGCCGTTCTGCTTTCCCACCGATGGGTGCGCAAGGGTCACCGTTTCTGCACATCCTCACCAACACTTACCTTTCCCCCCCTAATAATAGCCATCCTACCAGGTGTGAAGTTATAGCTCACTGCGCTTTTTAAAAAAGATTTATACGTGATTCTTGTTTTTTTAAGAATTTAAAAATAAATAAAAAAGATTTTATTAATTATTTAGAGAGAGAGGAAGGGAAGGAGAAAGAGAGGGAGAGAAACATCGATCTGTCGCTTCTCACACACCCCTAACTGAGAACCTGGCCCGTAACCCAGGCATATGCCCTGACTGGGAATCGAACCAGTGACCTTCAGGTTCACAGGCCAGCACTCAATCCACTGAGCCACACCAGCCAGGGCTCGCTGTGCTTTTGATGGACATTTTCCCGATGATCAGTGACACACTGAATATTTTTATGATCAGGTATATGCACCTGTTGGTCACTTGTGTATCTTAGAAAAATGTCCGCTCAGGTCTTTAGCCCATTGTTTAAATGGAGTTATCAGTGTTTTTACTGTTGAGACAGAGGAGTTCCTTTCTATTTTAGAGACTAACCCCTTATCAGATGTGTGGTTGCGAGCACTTTCGCCCACTTCCGTGGGTTGTCTTCTCACTCTGCTGTTTGCTTTGCCGTGCAGAGCTTTTCAGGATGACGTAGTCCTGCTTGTTTATTTTCACTTTCGCTGTGGGTACTGTTGATATCATATCCACGAGAGCT